GAGTCATGTTATTAATTGTCCAAAGCAGGGATGGAGAGTGATCTGCAAGGTAGGCTGCAGTGGGTTTGCTGGTCAATACATATACTGAACATGTAACCACAATAATGGTGGACAGATAATTAAATATTAAACAAATTAAACAGAAATTGTAGACCTTTACCAACATGTCAACAGACACTTTAATAAAAATAAGTACAAAACGTGTCAGTGTTAACTTTCTCTTTATCCCTGGTTGATGTACATTTCAGAGCCTCTTCAGTGTGGATGGGGTATAGCATACATTTTCAACAACAAAGACCGCACTTCCAGTTTGTGTTCTTCACTCTGTTGAACTCTTTTGTATTCATACCTAGGCACAGCACATGGAACCACCATTGGCATGCAAAACATTCAATCTAAAACAGAACAAAGCGTAACACGTTTATAAACAATATCAAATCTCAATGCAGTATGATGAATTAGCATCCATTGTGTTATATCATAAATTGTCTTACATGCCGTCACTGTTGTCAAAAGATTATAAAGTTACTAACCCAGTCAGTCTTTGGGCCACATCCAGGTTCTTTATCAGTGGCACACATGATAGCAGTTGTTGGCTTTGTTGAACTCTGAAATCATAGGCATGAACTGAACATATGGTTGTCCCACACAACTAAATACAAATAAAGAATTGACATTTACCTTGAATTAAATGTAATTACATACCAGACATTTTTTGTATATCCTCAGCCATTTCTTTTCGCAGTTGCTCCATGTGTTTTTGTAAAGGTTCTATATCCATTTAGGATGGGATGTTGGGGAAGTTCTGTGCAACTTCCTTGGCCATCTACACCAAAAATAGAAAATTGAGTTTTTGACCTAATTGTCACATAACAGCTAACCATTCATTATTGAAAATATAACTATCAAACCTGCATTACAAAGACCACACAGCTGAAGGTGTCCTGCTGCATGGTGTGAGTTATTTCCCCTCCGTTCCACTTCATGTCCACCCAGTTGTCTTTTCCATGGCAGGATCTTCTCATTTTGAAGTATTCTCTTTTTCTAATGGAATTCTGATTAGTTATAGGTAAATGAATACACAGGCCAAAACGGAATGCTGTTTTCCTTATCAGCATAATCTAGTAGAGGTAATTTCCTTTATGCCCCATTCTACACACAGCCTAAATTATAGGCACTGAACCATTTACAGGAGAATAATAAAAGTAGCATATACTCATTTTTTTTTGTCCACACCTACTGGGTCTCAGGCTTACAGATTTAAGTCTAAAAGCGTGAGATGAAAGTAGACAAACGACAGAGTGCGATATGAAGGCATAGTGAGTGGACAATCTAAAGCATGTTTTAGGGTGGTAGGTCACATGACCAGGGAACTATTGAAATTAAAAAATGTTTAAAAATGCATATAAAACCGCGTGAGATGAAAATTGACAAATTAAAGGGGTGCAATGTGTAGGCATACTGAGTGAACATTCTGAACCTTGTTTGAGGCCAGTAGGTCACATGACAAGGAGCTATTGAAATTAGAAAGTTTGAATAATTCATGTAAAAACGTGTGAGATGAAAATGGACAAACTAAAGGGTGTGCAATATAGAAGGGTAGTCAGTGGGCATTCTGAACCTTGGTTGAGGTCAGTAGGTCACATGACCAAGGAGCTATTGAAATTCAAATGTAAAAAAAAAAAAAAAGTTTGTACTTTGTTTACGCTCCCTAACTAATTCAACTAGGAATACGGAATGATGCTCACATTTCCACACATTTATTAGCTTTGGAAAGCAAATTAATGTCCTAATTGTGAAAATAAGACCTGTGCAATGTTGTGCGCAATTCTTTCAACATCATGACACTTATTTGGAGTCTGTTGCTCAAGTGGTTTGAAAGCTATTGAGGTTTGAAAGCGCGAATATCCAACCTGAAACTGTCTTTACCTCGGTGAGAGACCTGGGGTTGTTTTGGGAGGGAGTTTAGCCCCTCTGTGGTTCTTCCTGCTATCCCACCTTGGTTTCTCCCTCAACCAGTGATATATCTAGGGTTGCTTGAGAGGGTAAGAGATGTTGAGGAAGGAGTAGATTCAGTTGTAAGTGAACATTTTATGAACACAAAACTATAATTTCTTGAATATATTCACATATGGATCTAAGGACCCTAAAACAGGGAGAACAGGAGCAGCTTTTAGTGTTCCTGAGTTTAGGGTGGCAGTGACGAAAAGCGCAACAGATAATTGATCTGTTTACACAATGGAGTTGTTGGCCATACTATTGGCTGCAGAGTGGGTGGAGGAGGTGTGGCCAGACATGGTAATCATCTGCTCTGACACCTGTGCAGCACTGATGAGCTTAAATTCATGTGTGTCTCAGAGCAGACAGGATGTATTGTATGAGGTTTTGCAGTGTTTGTATAGGGTGAAACAGATGGGGGTATGTGTGATGTTCCTCTGGGTACCAGCTCATGTGGGAGTAAAGGGGAATGAGGAAGTGGATATTATTGCCAAGCAGGCTCTTAGACATCCTAATGTTGAGATGGAATTGTCAATCAGTAAAGCAGAAGCCAAGGGATTAATAAGAACAGTGGTTAAAAGTAAGTGGCAAGAGAGGACAGGGAGAGTAAGGGAAGACACCTGTATAAGATCCAGGAAAAGGTGGGGGCAGGGAGGTCCTCAGGCCGAGAGAGAAGGGAGGAAAGTGTAGTCACAGGGCTGAGACTGGGACACACAAGGCTAAATAGTACATTGAAAGTGGTGGGGAAACATCCGACTGGGAGATGTGATCATTGTCAGGAGGAGATGGAGACAGTGGAACATGTTCTATTTCAGTGCCAGAAATATGTGAGAGAAAGGGAACAATTGTTATTAGATTTGAGGTGTAATGGGGTTGAAGAGCCAGGATTAAGTGAACTGCTGGGGAAATCTTCAGGGGATGTAGTATTTAATAATGTATTTCATTTCCTTAGGGAGAGGAGATTTAGACCTTCACTATCTCTAGTCCACAGTCCAGTCCAGTTGGTGGTGGTAATGCACCTTAAAGTTGGTTGCCAACCCCCATATAAAATCCACAGAAGAAGAAGAGTGGTGTTCTATTCTTATTTACAATGAACGTCACTTAAAAAATGATACAATATATTATTTACCATTCATTTACATTGGCCACAAAATACTCTGAAACACAACCAAAACAAACAGCAAATGCATCCAACATATTTGTATAGTCACAAGCTTGTTGTAGTCATTGCGTGCTATGAATATGGGACCAAATACTAAACTTTTGACTACTTTAATACACATACGTGAATTGGTCCCAATACTTCTGGTCCTCTAAAATGGGGGGACTATGTACAAAAATGTGCAATAATTTCTAAATGTTTTACCCAATATGGATGAAAATACCCTCAAATTAAAGCTGACAGTCTGCACTTTGACCTCAATTTGAAATCTTAAGTGCTAGTGTACAGAGCCAAAACAACAAAACGTGTCACTGTCCTAATACTTTTGGAGCTCACTATATATAGACAAAGTCTCCTAATATTTGATTGACAACATGTCAAACCTCTCACCCTCATGGTTGAGATCTGCTCCATAGCGTAGCTGGACTACTGCTGCACAGACCAGTCCCCGCTCAGCCAACTAAAACAGAGCATAGCTGATCCCCTCCTCAAACACAGCTGACTGGGACTCTTTCTCTCGGCTGTGAAATCACAAAGACCCAAAAAACTTTCAGCGGCATTCACAATGATTCCAATTTTCTTAGACGACTTCTCCGCTTGTGCTGTACAGTTTATGAGCATTGCAATAAATAATATGCTCCTTACTACGAAAATCCATACAGGAAACATTCTACTCTATCTTTTTTAGTCTTAAAACACGCTTCTTCTGCTCCGCAGACACACAATCTAAATAAGACCACTTCTTGTGACTCTCACCAACTCCACACTTTCCTCCAACACATTCCAGATTTTCCTCGAAGTTAAACAGATTTCCCAAGTAGCATTGATCCAAAACCCTGACTCCGAATAAAAACAAGTCTAGTGGTTTCCTATTTTCCACCACAGCTTTACTGCTCTCGTTTCCCTTTTTCTTCGCCCACTCATTCTCACTTTCTGTACTATTAGCTTCACCCAACTCACTAGCAGTTTCAAACAAAACCTCAGTTTCCGCCATCTTCTCCTTCTGCCTCTCGACTCCACTCGAAATCAAATTTCTTCTTCTTCTTCTTCTGAAGAGAAGTGAGGGTGCTTTTTGTGATGCTATGAGTCTGGTTTAGTGATCAGTGACAGCTATGTACACTCGATAGAAATGAATGGTAAATAATGTTGGTCAATTGTATGTTGTCACTTTTATTGTAAATAAGAATAGAATACTTCTACATTAATGTGGGTGCTACCATGATTACGGATAATCCTCAATGAATTGGGAATAATGATTGTGTAACCTCCCCAGCTATTGTCATAGTGAGAGGTATTTGTGCATCTGTAACTTTCTCACTCATCATTATTCACAATTCATTCAGGACTATCCGTAATCATGGTATCATCCACATTAATGTAGAAGTGTTTAGAAACATATTATATTCTCATGTACAATAAAAGTGAATCCAAAATGACACCATACATTATTTACCATTCATTTCTATTGGGTACACAATCTTAAACACAACCAAAACAAACAGCAAATTCATCCAACAAGTTTGTAGAGTCACAAGCTTGATGTAATCATTGCGTGCTAGGAATATGGGACCAAATACTAAACTTTTGAGTGCTTTAATACACAAGTGAATTTGTCCCAATACTTTTGGTCCCCTAAAATGGGCGGACTATGTACAAAAAGTGCTGTAATTTCTAAACGGTTCACCTGATATGGATGAAAATACCCTCAAATTAAAGCTGACAGTCTGCACTTTAACCTCATAGTCATTGTATAATTTCAAATCCAACAAAACATTTGTCTCTGTCCCAATACTTTTGGAGCTCACTGTATTTTACTGATGAAAATGTACTTTTATTCCCAGACCCTGTGTCTTATTACAACCCACTGCACATTGCTGTAGTGAGGAACAGGCCGAGCATGGTAAGGGATGCTGGCTGGACATGGAGCTGACATTGACAAGCGAGGTAGGGTGAGTACAACTGAACTTACAGCTGCAAAACATACTACTACTATTGTGTCCTTTCTGCAGTGCTGTTCTTGCTTTGTATACAGAATCTGTTGTTATGACTGTCTATGCAGTGCACTGTATCTTTTGCAGATCCATGAAAGTAGCCCCTTGGATCTTGCTAGTGAAGAGGCAGTGAGACTACCCTGTATGCGCACACTGCTGGACATTGGGGCTGACGTGAATGCAAGAGATAAAAATGGTGACTTGACGTTTTGATCTGTATTTGCTTGTGTTTTCTCTATATGCTGTATTTCAATACTGCTTTTTTTTTTTAAATCTTGTCCCCAAAGGAAAAACACCCCTACTTCACGCCCTAGCCAGCAGTGATGGACTCACCGTGCATAACATAGAAAACATCCGGCTGCTACCCCAGAGAGGTACTGAACTGTAAAACATCCTTTATAGAGTGGTCACCTTGTCTTAATGTTTCTGCTGCTTAGAGTAGGCTTATGGGCATTTGTTGTAAGACAGAAATGCTCAAACTCAACAACAGCAGGGCATGCCCAAACTTAATTATATTCAGGAAATGTTCCCCTCCTAAGGTTCAGACGTCCATGCTGCAACCCTTGATGGAGAGACTGCTGTGTCCTCGCTGGTCTTCCTGGTGAAGGAGGCTCTGGAGGGCTCAGTGGAGGATGCAGCTGAGATCGGCCGCTTCTGTCTGAGAGCCACGTGGCTGCTGCTGGCCCACGGGGCTGACACCAGCTGCTGCCTGGCCCCAGATGGGGAGGAGGATGGGGAACCCTCCCTGACCCTGACCAGCCTTGAGCACTTTGACCGTATATTTCCCCTTGCAGTGCTGCTGCGGCAGAGTGGAGCTTCCTTCCACTGCTCTCACCACAGAGACTCCTGCTGGACAGGCTACAGGCTGGTGTTCTAGAAGCTCCAGACGGTCCTGCTGGACTGTTCTGATGTAGGGCAGGCGGCTGAGCTCCTGGGGCAGGCTGAGGTCCTCCTGGACTTGGCCCGGGTGTCCTCACCCAGTCTGGCCCTGCCCCTGGACCTGCCTATGCCACACCAAGACCCCCATGCTCAGACACTGCGGAACCTCCATCAGCAGGTGGTGGTGGAGCAGGAGACCAGCCCTCCCTTCCTGCGCTGCCTCTGCAGGGCCTTCATCAGGGGTCACCTGCAGCCCTGGCCCCTGGACGACAAGGTGAAGGCTCTGCCCTTACCTGACAGACTGAAGGAGTACCTGCGTCCTGAACACACCCTGAGCCCCAAACCAGGATGGAACTGCTTTAAGCCCCAGCATACCCTACGCTGACGACAAATACTCTAATTGGCCGTTATGATGAACACTATGGCACCTGGGGATGACACAAGGATTAATTGACCGTTAGTCTTTTGTAATTATTTTAAGTGCTATCAATGTGCTCAGAAACTGCCATTGAGGCCTTTGTTGTTGGAGTGCACGTGTGTGTATGGTCTGTGCCAAATCATACAGACAAAAAAAATCAGTGTATATGTTTACTATAATGAGATCAAGATAACGTATACTCTGACATTTCTTAAGAATAAGTCATGTAGCTTCCATACATGATTTGCACTGCTGTAAGGGTATTTTTGTTAAACAGTAACAGAAAAGGTTGGACTTTGTCATCTGAATAAAACAATCAGGATCAATTAGGTCTACTCAACATATTTTCTCAATTTCTGCGAGAACATTTGAAGTATAGTGAGGGTCCACAAGATGGCAATGTTGTTCTTTGCAGCAGGTAGTTGCTAAATAAGAGGTAAAATTCCAATGTATATTCTCTAATTAAGTGTTATTGACACAATTCATCAGAAACCTCATTATACTTAACACTTCTTTATATGTAATACTCTAATGTATTTTATGTGTGTGTGTATATATACACTACCAGTCAAGTTTGGACACACCTACTCATTCAAGGGTTTTTCTTTATTTTGACTATTTATAACATATTAGAGTAATAGTGAAGACATCAAAACTATGAAATAACATATGGAATCATGTAGTAACCAAAAAAGTGTTAAGCAAATCAAAATATATTTTATATTTGAGATTCTTGATGACAGCTTTGCACACTCTTGGCATTCTCTCAACCAGCTTCACCTGGAATGCTTTTCCAACAGTCTTGAAGGAGTTCCCAAATATGCTGAGCACTTATTGGCTGCTTTTCCTTCACTCTGTCATCCGACTCATCCCAAACCATCTCCATTAGTTTGAGGTTGGGGGATTGTGGAGGCCAGGTCATCTGATGCAGTGCTCCATCACTCTCCTTCTTGGTAAAATAGCCCTTACACAGCCTGGAGGTGTGTTGGGTCATTGTCCTGTTGAAAACAAATGATAGTCCCACTAATCCCAAAACAGATGGGATGGTGTATCGCTGCAGAATGCTGTGGTAGCCATGCTGGTTAAGGGTGCCTTGAATTCTAAATAAATCACATACAGTGTCACCAGCAAAGCACCCCCACACCATAACACCTCCTCCTCCATGCTTTACGGTGGGAAATACACATGCGGAGATCTTCCGTTCACCCATACCGCGTCTCACAAAGACACGCCGGTTGTAACCAAAAATCTCAAATTTGGACTCCAGACCAAAGGACACATTTCCACCGGTCTAATGTCCATTGCGTGTGTTTCTTGGCCCAAGCAAGTCTTTTGTTATTGGTGTCCTTTAGTAGTGGTTTCTTTGCAGCAATTAGACCATGAAGGCCTGATTCACACGGTCTCCTCTGAACAGTTGATGTTGAGATATGTGTGTTACTTGAACTCTAAGATGCATTTATTTGGGCTGCAATTTCTGAGGCTGGTGTAACTCTAATGAACTTATCCTCTGTAGCAGAGGTAACTCTGGGTCTTCCATTCCTGTGGCGGTCCTCATGAGAGCCAGTTTCATCATAGCGCTTGATGGTTTTTGCGACTGCACAAAGTTCTTGAAATTTCCGTATTGACTGACCGTCATGTCTTGTAGTAATGATGGACTGTCATTTCTCTTTGCTTATTTGAGCTGTTCTTGCCATAATATGGACTTGGTCTTTTACCAAATAGGGCTATCTTTTGTATACCCCCCTACCTTGTCACAACACAACCTATTGGCTCAAACGCATTAACAAAGAAAGAAATTCCACAAGTTAACTTATAAGAAGGCACACCTGTTAATTGAAATGTATTCCAGGTGACTACGTCATGAAGCTGGTTGAGAGAATGCCAAGAGTGTGCAACGCTGTCAAGGCAAAGGGTGGCTATTTGAAGAATTTTTAATATAAAATATGTTTTATAATATATGATATGCCATTTAGCAGACACTTTTATCCAAAGCGACTTACAGTCATGCGTGCATACATTTTTAGGTATGGGTGGTCCCGGGGATCGAACCCACTACCCTGGCGTTATAAGCGCCATTCTCTACCAATTGAGCTACAGAATACCCATTTTTTGGTTACTACATGATTCCATATGTGTTATTTCATAGTTTTGATGTCTTCACTATTATTCTGCAATGTAGAAAATAGTAAAAATAAAGAAAAACCCTTGAATGAGTAGGTGTTCTAAAACTTTTGACCGGTAGTGTATATATTATTAGTTGCCGTTGAAGCTTCTCATTGACCGGATCTCTTCCTGTTTAACCAATGAGTTGACGTGCTTTGATTTTCCTATAATAAAAAAATATATAATGACATATCACATTAAATTGTACAACATTACTGACAATTAACATACAGGTAGATGTACATCAAGGCAGGAGGACTTGGTGTTGCTAGAGAGTCAGAAGGCTGAGCTGAACGGCAATGTTATTCTACTGAGAGCTACAGGACAGGTGTGTGTGTGTCTGTCTGGCGGAGAGCAAGAGAGAAGAGTGAGTATTTAAGAGACTAGATTTCAGTGTACTAGTCTGTGTGTTTCAGGTGGATAATTAGCAGCGCTTGGCAAATCTGCTGTGTTGATTTACCCTTACCCTCAAGACTATGACTTCCAAAGTACTACTGAGCTATTATTTGTATTTATTATGGATCCCCAGCTACTCTTCCTGGGGTCCAACCATATTAGAACACTTATATAAAACAGTACCTCAAAAAACATTATTACACCACTACCTATCTACAATACAAAATGTTTAATACCACCATACAACAATATCACAATGTGTGCGTATGCATGTGTCTATACCTTTTGTGTGTGTCTCTTCACAGTCCCCGTTGTTCCATAAGGTGTATTTTTACCTTTTTTTTTTTTTATTTTTTGTCTGATTCTACTGCTTTCATCAGTTACCTGATGTGGAATAGAGTTCCATGTAGAAATGGCTCTATGTAGTACTGTGCGCCTCCCATAGTCTGTTCTGGACTTGGGGACTGTGACGAGACCTCTGGTGGCATGTCTTGTGGGGTATGCATGGGTGTCCGAGCTTTGTGCCAGTATTCCAAACAGACAGCTCGGTACATTCAGCTTGTCAAAACCTCTTACAAAAACAAGCAGTGATGAAGTCAATCTCTCTTACTCTCTGAGCCAGGAGAGACTGACATGCATGTCATTAATGTTAGCTCTCCGTGTACTTTTAAGGGCCAGCCGTGCTGCCCTGTTCTGAGCCAACTGCAATTTTTCCAAGTCCCTCTTTGTGACACCTGACCACACTACTGAACAGTAGTCTAGGTGTGACAAAACTAGGGCCTGTAGGACCTGCCTTGTTGATAGTGTTGTTAAGAAGGCAGAGCAGCGCTTAATTGTGGGCATACAGTGGCTTGCGAAAGTATTCAACCTGGAATTACATTTAGATTTTTTGTGGGTTTGTATCATTTGATTTACACAACATGCCTACCACTTTGAAGATGCAAAATATTTTTTATTTTGAAACAAACAAGAAATAAGACAAAAAAACAGAACTTGAGCGTGCTTAACTATCCACCCAAGACATTTAAATGTTTACTCATAAACCACTCAAGTGTTGCTTTAGCAGTATGCTCAGGGTCATTGTCCTGCTGGAAGGTGAATCTCCGTCCCAGTCTCAAATCTTTGGAAGACTGAAATAGGTTTCGCTCAAGAATTTCCCTGTATTTAGCGCCATCCATCATTCCTTCAATTCTGACCAGTTTCCCAGTCCCTGCCGATGGAAAAACTTCCATGCTGCCACCACCATGCTTCACTGTGGGGATGGTGTTCTTGGGGTGATGAGAGGTGTTGGGTTTGCGCCAGACATAGCGTTTTCCTTGATGGCCAAAAAGCTCAAATTTAGTCTCATCTGACCAGTGTACCTTCTTCCATGTGTTTGGGGAGTCTCCCACATGCATTTTGGTGAACACCAAACGTGTTTGCTTATTTTTTTCTTTAAGCAATGGCTTTTTTCTGGCCACTCTTCCGTAAAGCCCAGCTCTGTGGAGTGTACGGCTTAAAGTGGTCCTATGGACAGATACTCCAATCTCCGCTGTGGAGCTTTGCAGCTCCTTCAGGGTTATCTTTGGTCTCTTTGTTGCCTCTCTGATTCATGCCCACCTTACCTGGTCTGTGAGTTTTGGTGGGCGGCCCTCTCTTGGCAGGTTTATTGTGGTGCTATATTCTTTCAATTTTTTAATAACGGATTTAATGGTGCTCCGTGGGATGTTCAAAGTTTCTGATATTTTTGTATAACCCAACCCTGATCTGTACTTCTCCACAACTTTGTCCCTGACCTGTTTGGAGAGCTCCTTAGTCTTCATGGTGCCCCTTGCTTAGTGGTGTTGCAGACACTGGGGCCTTTCAGAACAGGTGTGTATATATACTGAGATCATGTGACAGATCATGTGACACTTAGATTGCACACAGGTGGACTTTATTTAACTAATTATGTGACTTCTGAAGGTAATTGGTTGCACCAGATCTTATTTAGGGGCTTCATAGCAAAGGCGGTGAATACATATGCACGCACCACTTGTCCGTTTATTAATTTTTTTGATTTTTTGGAAACATGTAATTTATTTCATTTCACTTCACCAATTTCGACTATTTTGTGTATGTCCATTTCATGAAATCCAAATAAAAATCAATTTAAATTACAGGTTGTAATGCAACAAAATAGGAAAAACGCCAAGGGGGATGAATACTTTTGCAAGGCACTGTACTTCTCCCCCATCTTAGCTACTGTTGTATCAATATGCTTTGACCATGACAGTTTACAATCCAGGGTTACTCTCGCAGTTTAGTCACCTCAACTTGCTCAATTTCCACAATATTCATTACGAGATGTGATGTGGAAAATTATCACTAAACTTATTAAAAATCAAATTCTTCCAGAGTTTTTGTAGAATCAAGATAGACTTTATTAC